TTTCGCTTCTCTGCCACACAGGAAATCGACAAGATTTGGGTTTCCTGCATGCTGTTCCGCCAGGACATCCCGTGAGTGTTCACAACAGCACCACTGGAAGTAGACCGGTCTCCGGATGTTGCACAGCCAAACAAGGGCGTGAGCTCATCTGTGTCAAAGGCTGCCAAGAGCCTGCTGTTATTACCTGTTTCCTGCCAAGTTAGTCAGTTGCTCTCGCAAGGCCGTGTAGCACTCTCCCACCTGGAACATCACTGTACCCTTAAACAGAGTTAAATTTCTTAAAGGATCTCTGCAAAGATCCCCTCGAGTTCAGGCCTTTCTGTGTGATGGCGATAGACTGATGCAGTGTTTTGGGTCTCGTTGTGGTCTCTCAGACGGTACCTGGCGCTCTGCGTGGGTGAGGCCCGCATCCGCATGGACCTTCAGGACACCCCAGCGCCCCTGGACTTCAGAGGTCAGGGGGGGCAGACGGGGAAACCGCCGGTCAGCCCCTCCGTCCTGCGCTTCTTCTCTCAGGTACGGAGGCGCCATGGCTGCCGTCGGAAACCGCTTACAGCGCAGGAGAGCAGTGTGCTCGGTGCCCTGCCACTCACGGTGGTATTGCACCACGGTACAGGTGTGACGGACTAGTCCGTGGGAAGGGGTGTCCATTATTGACAAATATCCGTTAAATCACAAGGGTTTTCCAGCCCCAAAACACACTATTTTATGAGAAAAATACACGGTACATTTATATATCTTTTGACGTATTTGTAAAGTTAACTCTTGCAGACATCACAGTCAATGAAAATTGTTCTCGTCCCATTTTTATCCAGAATATGCAAGCTATTTATTTGATGTCGTAAGTGTACAGTATACAGTATAAAAATTTGCCCGGGAATACGAAACAAAAACCACACCCATCATAAGCAATTCACCTACCCCTATAGGGCTCCATTGATATTTCTGAAATTTCTACCAGTGTAGTATTTTTACTTTGCTTTATTATTTGTGCATTCCACCTTTATTGCAGGGAAAGTCCACTGTTTCTGATTTTACAGACATACTCCCACTTTAGAAGATTTTATCCGTGAAATCCGAAGTCCTGTATTGCAGTTCAGTGACATTCAGCTCAGTGAACACTTTGACTAAACACGTTGCCCTGCAGTATAATGTATTATTCTATGTGGAATTTCCCTGACTGCTTCTATAAACAGCCTTTCTCATTGCTTCCCCTTTGCATTCCTGCAGAATTGACAGCTGAGGGTTTTTCCTTCTGTGGGATTAGCTTTCTCACTGGTCCCTGTTCTCTGTGAGCCTGGGCCTGCGTTGCTTTTTGTACCACAGATGCAGCGGTTGGGGACAGCTGCTATGAATACAGGGCCACCTGGTCAGCTGGAAACATTTTTTTGATTCTTATTTTCCTCATCCTCAGCTGCTGTCTCTGCACGTCTCCTCCGTCAACGTCATGGTGCTGAACTTGGTCATCCCAGAGTCTCTGTGGCATATGACGGTGGCCACCACTGCCCTGCTGCTGGACCATGATGGCAAAAGGTGACAAGGGCAGAGGGCATACTCTGGGCAGCTCTGAGATTACAGCACTCATAATGGCTTGCTAGGTCACAGGAAGCTCATCTGCTTATGTTTCGTGTTTGAAATGCTGCAGGAAATGGGTGGAAGAGGTGGTTGCCTGAATAAGCTACTAGGGGCCAAGTGAACCCAAGGCTCGTCTCACTTGTACCCTTTATGTTTTCATATTTGTTTCACTATCCATAGTATGCATTTAAAGTCTTGGTTGCAGCTGCCATTAGCTCCTCAGTTCCCAGCCGGTGCCCACACCTGAGTTGAATTTGGTTGTGTGAAATATCTAAAATCCTCGAGTGCAGTAAAACCTTATTTTCAGACCCTGTTTTGCAAAATCGGTTCAGGGTAATCAGAAATGGGCAGTGCAGGCATGTGCAGGCCGCCCCTGTCTGAGTCTGTGTGCCCTGTGCTCCGCAGGGTGGCGTGGGAGTTCTCAGTGGGCCAGCTGAGCAGCAAGGTGCTGAAGAGCAGCCGACTGGTGAGTCTGCTCCGTGATACTGGGGGGGGATTCTGTTCCAAAATTCTCGTGAGGCTGCAAAATTGAAATGGCTGTGCCAAAAACTGAACTCGCACTCTTGTCAATTCCCTAGGTGAATCCATTCATTTTACCCAGCGTATTGTACAGTCGGAAGGTGAACAACTCAGTATTGCAAAGCTTTTCCACTTTGCTGTTCTTACCAGGCCAGAATGAACCTGAGATAATCAATATATATTTTTATTTATCAGTATAATACTTTATGTGATCAAATTACTTGTGGGAAAAGCATCTCAAGAACTGAACAGTTTATCCCTATAGGACGGGATTTAATAAGGCCATGTATTTTTGAATGTCCTTGAGCTTTTTTCTGTGTTGTGAAGAGTAATATTCTGTAGTGCTTGTGTAGCATTTATTTGTCTAGGCAGGTGGATGTGTGTCTGGGTTTGATGAGACTGGGGTCTGTTGAGCTCATAGATGGGCAAGGGAAAACACAATTCTTAACCTTGTTAACCTTCCCTAATGTTTCTGTGCATACTACCTCCCACCTCACTTCTCCTGCCCCCTGCCTCCTGCCCCCCACCTGCTGCCTCCCGCCTCACTCCTTCTGCCTACTGCCCTCCACTTCCTGCCCCCCCCCCCCCGCCTCGCAGCAGGACACCTGCCTCGCGGAGGCCTCTCTGGGCCTGGAGCTGACCGGCGACATGGGGGTGCCGGAGCTGCGGCCCGGGAGGCTGGGGCTGGCGGTGCGCGCCCTGCAGGCCGAGCTGCACGAGGGGCTGTTCCACAGCCTGCTGCTCCTGCCCCGTGCTGCCCCGGTGCGCCCCGCGCCGGACACCGCTGCCGCCTCCGGTGAGCACCTCCTGGTCCACTACCAGCCCGTAAATCAGAGGGGCTTGGCTCTGATCTCTCAAGGCCAGGACCCCACAATTTGTACATGTTCTCCTTCAACAGCCAACAGCATGGAACTGGGCAAGCAGGGGTGATAGTTAAGTAGCGGTAATTAACCCAGTAATTCAATAATTTTGTATGATTAAAAAGAGCAAGTGGATTTGAGAACCAGAAAGCCTTGTGAGCCTCAGGGATTAGAGTTCTTTTTTGTTTTAGAGAACAGAGAAAACCATTCTAAATACAGATGACATTGTACAACAGTCCTTTCATAATAGGGTTGGGGTTCTTGAGTTCACATACTGTACTGTATGCCTGATCCATGTAACAGTAGTATTGTGAAGGTTTTGCAAGTTCACATACTGTATGCCTGATCCATGTAACAGTAGTATTGTGCAGGTTTTGCAAGTTCACATACTGTATGCCTGATCCATGTAACAGTAGTATTGTGCAGGTTTTGCAAGTTTATGATGCTTGGTTGACCAGTTACATTTGACTTAAAATGTGTAGCAATACCTGTGTACGCATTTTGCAGACGTTATTGTAATTTTGCCTATCCATCGTGTGGGCCGTTTGCCTCGACATTTCTAATGAACTTATTCAAATTTTGATTTTGTTCTAAGGAGGCGAAAAGGATTCCTATGTCCAGTCAACTGCTGTCGAAAAGTTTCACCGGCTGATTCCGCAGAGGGTCAATGTGGATTTTGAAAACACCAATGTCACCCTGTCCATGCTCAGCCAGAGCAGGTAACTTTACACCACTGCTCAACACACCGCTCCCAGGGTTGTGCAAGACCTCCCGCTTTCTCGTCGTTAAGCCGAAAACTGTCTGGGAAGCCACTTCTGCAGCCTTATATAGAAGCTTTGCAGTGATCAGCACAGATGTTTAGTTGCAGGTGATAAAGAGAAGTAAATCTGATTTATGTAAAGAGTAACATGCAAGGTGAAGAGAAGAAGAGGCAGTATCTGTGCCGAAGGAGAATAACCTCAGTGTTCTGTGCAAATTGAACCTGGGTTTTTTGCACGTGTGCAGATTACACCTCATTTAGCCAGGAAGTCATTTAGTCAGCTGTGGATTGCGTGTAGTTTGTTACCAAATACTTCTGTACCTTGTAGGTATCCCTAGGCTATTTAAAAAGGTCTGAGCCTTGTGAAGAGAAACTCCCAACAGCCAAGTCTGAAGAGTCTTGCACTTAGAGTGTAGCTGCATCTTAGATGGCAAAGGCTGGGGAAAAAAAACCCTCTTTATTCACTTCTTGAGTTTCCTTCGATGCGGTATTTCCTCTCCTGGGGTGGGGAGATGGCTGAGCCGTGGTGACGCCGGTGCCTTTCCCCACAGGCACTTGAACTGGACCCTGAAGACTCTGCAGGTGCGGTACAGCCGGGAGGACGAGCAGCTGCCCCTGAGGAGCTTCACCCCGGAGCTCAGCTTCCCGCAGAGCAACCTGGAGCTCCTGCTCGAGGGTCTGTTGGGCAGAGGGGAGGGGGCCGGACCTGGGTCGGGGACTCAACACCTGCGCAATTAATAGTTCACTTAATTATTCCCTCCTTTCTGTAGCAGCAAGTGTCATTTCCTGCTGACAGTGAAGATCGTGATGTTCTTTTTTTCTGGTTCTAAAGTGTTTTTAAACTTGTAACTCAGACCTAGTTTTCATGAGATGGAGAGGGGTTGGAGGAGTCTAAAAGGCTCTTGTGTGGGGACACCATCTCCTCAAAGAACTTAAATCACACGCAGATATATACAGGAAAGCCTGGAGCCTGTAACACAGTCCTTCTTAGTAGATTAGAGTGGAATATCTGTCTGCATCTCTGCAGGGTAGGGAGCTTTTCTTTCTTGAGTTTTGTCTTTTCGCTGTGGCTTTTCATGGTCACTTTCTGTCCTGTACAATCGGGGGGAGAAAAGCTCTTGTTCTTGATACTGCTAAAACAAGTCGGCAGTGAGGTGCACGGTGGGTGATGAAATCGGCTTCTGAAATCCCAGTCATGGTGGAAATGCTGGGGTTGGTTTTGTGTGCCCGTGCAGATGGCCTTCTGCTGTCCCAGAGCCGCCAGAGGATGATCTGTCTCAGCGCTCTCAGGACCATCCTGCAGGTACGCCACCACCCGATGACCTGACCTGCTCGTTCTTCTTGGGAGCTGCAGTTGTCCCCTGCTACAAGAAATCAAGGAAAATCTTCTATTTTATTGTGACCTTTTTTCCTTTAGCTAGAACTAAGCAGCTTAATTTACATTTAGTGT